ACCACTTAGAACATGGGTGATATAACATGACTACACTGTAGTCATCCTGTGGTTTACTCAACTTGATTGTGAACCTTTTGAAAGCAAGGGTTCCATCTTATTTGTCTCCGTAAACACTAAAATTTCCAACAGATAGCACCTGGTAGAGGTATACTTCAGAGTTGCAAAGCAATTGTTTTGTCTTTGAGGCACTTCAAAAATGCCTTCCACCCAGTGTAAATCAGTTCTCTTTAAGATTATCACAATGAATTGATATTTTTCCATTTGGAGAATTTTTCTTATTATTCATTCTGTGTCCTTTGGGCTAATTACAAGAGTAGGTCTTTTTTTTTTTTTTTTTTTCCCCAGTACTGGGGCTTGAATTCAGGGCCTTCAAAAATTGAGCCACTCCTCCAGCCCAATTTTTTTGTGATAGGGTTTTTCAAGATAGGATTTCACAAACTATTTGCCCAGGCTGGCTTTGAACTGTGATCTTCCTGATCTCTTCTGCCTCCTGAGTAGCTAGGATTACACAGGTGTGAACCACCAGTGCCCGGCTAAGAGTAGGTCTTTAAAATAATTTTTTTTCTACTTAGGCTATAAAGAAAATTATGGAATTGGTTTTCCTGGCATCATTAAAATGACATTCATTTCTATCTTTTGTTAGTCTAGCTCTTCTGTGAATTCTAAAGTGCATAAAAGTGAAAGAAGCGTCTATTTGGGTTAGTTAAGTTGTAGCGATTTTGGATAATGACAATCTTACAGTAGCTCATTTTATATAGTTCTCTAACATGACTAATATTTCTTTTGTATTCATTTGGATATGTACTTAGCAAACTACATCTTTAAAAACTAAAGACCTTCTTCAAGAGAAATTTTACTACAAGTTCAAGGATAACAGATGACTACGAATGAAGATGTAAAGCAAACTAGAAATGAATGAAAGTGTCTGTTCTAAAGCCTCCCCTCTGTCTGTAGGCAAATAACCAAATAAATTGATGTCTCTAGGGTGGTACACCAAGAAAGATCTATCTCTCGATGAGCAGCACATTTTAATGGGACCAGTCCTAGTGATGCATTGTAGTTTTTAATGCGCACATGAATCAGTCAGGGATTTGTTAATATTCTGAGGTCCAGGCTGAGGCCTGAGATTTGGCTCTCCTAGCAGGTTCTTGAGTGATGCTCACACTGCTGATCTGTAGCCTACTTTCTGAGTGGCAAGGCACTAGCCAACAATTTCTTACTAGGATACAGTCATTAGTTTACTTTGTGTTGTAATTTAGTCTTTAGCAAATGTAGATTATATGACTTAATGTTGAGAAGCAATATATTAGGAAGAATGGAAAAGAAGTCCACTAATAACCCGAAAAAAGCCTTATGTGTAACAGCAATAGTGTCAGTTCCTTCATATATACTCTTTTAAAAACAATAAAATCTACTTTGAGATCCTACTTTGGTGAATCTGAATATGTAGAAATAAGCCAAATGCAATAATTCCATGTGGTATGAATCCTGAGGGGGCAAGAAGATAAGCAATGCTGTTTGCCATTATTCATTATATAAGAACAGGATCATGGATTAGAATTGTAACACTTTAGTTCTTGACGTGTTGAGTGGCTTTTCCAATGTCAAATAGTCTATTAGCTGCATTTCAATGACAGAATCTATGTCCTTCCTACTGTCCTCCTACCAATATGAAGCTGCTTCCTGGGAGTGGACTGTTAACCCAATTCAGAGAGTCATTGTTGTAAATTTTGAGGTCTTGACCATAGGCTCTTTTGAACTTAGTGGACTTCCTTTCTGTTCTTCCTAATATATTGTTCCTCTACATTTTTAAGTCGTATAACTACATTTGCTAAAGACTAAATTTCAACACAAAGTAAACTAATGAGTCTCTCCAAGTAAGAAGTTGTCGGCTAACATCTTGCCACTCAGAATGTGTGTGTGTGTGTGTGTGGTATGCGTGCATGCAGAGAGAAGAGGATAGATATATGTATGTTTACATTTTAGGAATATTTAGGATCTAGTGAAAAGAAAAGAAAAATGCCATAGAATGAAGCACCAATAACCAAAATCAAAGATATGGCAATTAGTGATAGAAATGAACAGAAGTAATTAATATAAAAGGAGTAAAAATATGATATAAAAATTTTAGGACTTTGCAGTTGATCAGATAGAGGAAGTTATAGAGAGGTATATGCTCAAAAATATTTCCTATTTATTCTCTTCTCTCTCTCTCTCTCTCTTTTTCTCTTTCTCCCCTGTCTGTTATAGAAGCAATTAAAATCACAAGCTTGATAATCAGATCAGAACAGACTTGGTTTTAAATGTTAACTTTACATACTAACTATATTAATTTCATGTTTTCTGCTGTCTTTAAAGCTCTCATATGCTTTATAAGAAATTAATAATGTCTACTTAAAATACTGATTGTAGTTTTTGATCCCTTATAGATAAGATATGGGGTCTGGGTGTGGAAGACTGAGGCTGTCATTAGCAACAGTGGGTTCTCAGGGGTTTTGAAGCACGTGGAATGGCAAGAACAAGATGCAGAGGCTGCCATGGACTTGATTTGTTGTGTACTGTGGTATGTGGGGGTTATACAGTGTTCAGAATTGGGCTACTCGCATCAGTATGAGAGGTAGGTGAGTTTGGAATTCATGGCTTAAGGCCATAGCAAGTGAAGTATAAACTGTGTCAAAGGCAAGCTATGCCTATTCTTCCTTTGCCTTGGCTTGGCTTTCATGAGAATGAAATATTGATGACTATACCAACAAATTAAAAGTGCAGAAGCAAAAGACAGACTAAGAAAAGAAGCAATATATGTAATTACAAATCAGAGCAACTATGTAAAGACCAAGTAAGCAATAGTAGGCCAAGTCTGGGATATGGAATCTAAGAGAAATACATTGGGAAATTTGGTAGAGTAAAGTAAATAGGGCACACTCATTATCCAGTCATCAGGTAAACACAGCATCCAGAAAACTCATGTGAGTGAAGGAGCATAAGAGCTGGCAGAGAGCCACACATGAATCATCAATAATTCATTTTGATATTGAAAGTACTTGATATTAGACAACCAGAGAGTCTCTTATCTTACATCATCCTGAAGAGTACTGATCACAAGTCACACATCTAGTGAAAGGCTCCAGGCAATACAGGTATGAGGCAGACAGATTTTCTTACTTCACTTAATACTATTGATAAGATTTCTTCTTTTTGTCTGTTGATAGCTAGCTTAGTTCCAAGTTTCATGATGGTTGTAGTATCTTGCAGGCTCTGAGTAGTGGAGTTGTATTGATTTTCAGTATTGATTTCATAAAGGAGTAGAAGAGAAGAAAGTATAGGAGTAGGAGCAGAGGGAAGGAGAAATTAAGTAGCAAATCAAATGGAAAAGAAGGACAGGAAATCTTTATAACTTAGGCTTATGGCACCTCCCTTGTAATAAGTGGCTGTAGAAATAAGTGCCTGTGCTTTGTTCTTGTGCTGAGTTTACTGCAGGAATTTTGCTCTCACATACAGGCTCAACTGTGTGACTTCATGCATAATTGGATGTTATTTCCTCATTGTTTCCCCTGGAGAGAAATAAAAGTTTCTTAACTTTTTAATAGAAATAAGAGATTTTTCTCAGCCTGGGAAAGAAGACACTTTTTCTCAATTTGTGTTTCCCCAGTTGGTATACACATGAAAAACAACTGGGAAAATATCAATTGAACAAAGTATTGTAGGGCGACATTTATTCAAGACTCAAAATATATCAGCAGCTTTATAAAGCAGAGAGATAGATGTAGTCCCTTAAGGCTTAGCTTGTGAACATCTCAGAATTGACTGAGGAGAGATGATTTACTATTTTCCGAATGGAAATGGGGTTGAGAAGAATGATCACAGAAAAATGCTTCAAGAGAAAAGAGTTTCACAACTTTTTATTGAGCTCTTGTTTGGGATGGTTTTAGGAACTTATTAATCATTCCATGACACTTGACAGTGTAACAAGATTTGGGAGTTTATGAAACATCATTTTGAAATTACTCCAAACTAGAGTTCTTTTTCTGTTTGTCAAATTAACATTGGGTACAATTTTAAGAATCAAGAGTGGCTGATGCATTAGCTAAAACTCTTTTGATTATAAGTTACAGAAATAAACTCTAGTTTAAGAAAAAGAAAAAATATCAGGGAAGCTTTGGACAGGAAACCCAGCTGGGCTCCAGGAGTTTTTTGTTCAATTCTAGAGACCCCTCTCTGGGCTGCTTCTCCTTGCACTTCAAGTACCTTCATCTTGGTAAAACTGCTTTGCAAATGGAATTAAGGCTTCTCGCAGCTCCCATATTGACACATTATAATTTCAGTATCCCCAAGTAACTGCAGAGCAATTTACATCCCTGTATTTACATTTTGGGAGGGAGAATTTAATTGCTACCCAACCCCAGTTCCATACAAAATATGAACATGACTTCTGAGAGCTCAGCCCTGTGGATTTGGGAGCGCAGGCACAGTTTCCAAAACAGAAAGCTGTTATAGGCTTGGTGGATGTGTCAGGGTCATCTACCTTGCCATGCCTAGAAAGAGTGCTCTCAGCTCTCAATGCATATCTCCCAAATGAAATATTTGTCGACCAAATGCACTGTCAAGAATGAAATGTGTTTGGCTAGATAAACTGAGTTTTTTTTTTCATTTTCAATGTTATGATAGTATATCTTGTTTAAGTTTTCATTAATGTTTAAAATAGCTATACAGGGATTTCATTGTACATTTCCATACATGCGTACATTGTACCCTGGTTTGTTCATCCTTTCCTCTCAAGCATGTAATTGATTGTAGTTAGCTAAAAATAGTAACTTCAAACTAAAGTTACAGTAGTTAGAATCATCTGATTTCCTAGCTGTTTTTACTAAATTTATAAAATAATTTTAAAATTTAAAATTGTATTTTTTGAGAACATTTGCATGACCTAATATTTATATTTATTCACCTAAAATAGTGTTTTTCTCTATTTTTTAAAAAATGATATGTCCTTCATGAAGACTAAGCCTGGAGTAATTCGCCCAGTACCTGTAAAATCCAAAATATTACTGAAAAAAGAAGAGGAAGTTTATGAACCCAATCCTTTCAGTAAATACCTGGAAGACAACAGTGCCTTCTTTCCTGAGCAGGTGAGTGAACATACAAGACAAAACTTTGTTTTCCACAGGTAAATGGATGGAACTGGAGAACATTGTGTTAAGTGAAGTAAGCCAGGTCCAGAAAGACAAAGATTGCATGCTCCCTTCATGTGTGGAAGATAGATCCAAATGCAAATATAATCATATGTACATATATACACATATGATAACATACACAGAGGAGACTAAGAGAAGAGGGAAGAGAATGACAGAGTGTGTGTAAAACTGAAATACATCACGTCTGTGTAGGAACAAGGCACAAGAAAATGCACTGAAAACTGTTGAATGATACAAGGTAGGGCAGAAAGGATGAAGAAGAGTGGTAGAGGGAGTTGGCCTGAAGTACAATATACTACAGATAAAATATCAAGGCAAAACGCCACTGAAGAATGAATAGTACTAATACAATGAAGGAACAGGAATGTAAAACAGGTCACCCCAAGGGAGGGGGACAGCAGGAGGGGTGGGTAAATGAAGAAGGTAAAGGGAGGTGAATGTGGTTGATGCGTTTTCTACACATGTATGAATATGGACATTGAAACCTGTCAAAGTCATCTGAAGAAGGGGAAGGGGATGAAGCAAATGGGGTACATTATCCTCATACATTAAAATGTCACAATGAAGCCTTCTGTACAACAATTACATACTAATAAAATGTTAAAAGAGAAAAGGAAATATTTGATAATTTGATAACTGTCTACATAAAGTGTCAATACTTTATGAGTATTGTGTGTGTAAGAAAATGTGCATTTGATTGGCGTATTCTTGGTAGTGAAAAAAAGACCATTTCTTCATCATAAGTAGAAATTCTTATATAATTCCAGGATGATATTTTAAGACATCTCAATATTATTTTTCTGAAAAATGTCTACCTAGTGCTGGTATTGTTTGAGAGACTAAAACTCTGTGAGGACATCATGAAATCACTGAGTGGATGGGTCATGTAGCTGTTGCATTCCTTTTGTTTTAATACCCTGTTTCCCTTCAAGAAGAAGCAATACTTTAGATTGGCCTTGTTAGAGTTGACCAAAGTACTACTGTTTAGATTCATTAGAGGTGATGCGGCCCTATATTGCAGCCCCCATCACTGTGGGGGTAGGGGCTTGTGTCATTTTAAAGCTTTCTTGCTTGTTTTGAGCTTGTGTGAAGAATCTATACCATATTCCCCTTAAATGTGTGGTGTGCTGGAGGAGGGAAGTTGTCAGAGGAGGCTTTAGAAGATGCTTGGGGAATGATGCCAAAGCACCTATGTGAAATGTAAAACTTTTAAGTTGCATCAAAGAGAAACTTTGCATCTTTGGCACCACGTAAGCAAAGAATATGCATTTTATATCAAGTATTGTTAAGTGGATAAGCAAGGTAAGATATCCAGAAAAGCTTCTGGATACAGTCAGGACATGTAAGATAATCACATCTGATGATCTGTGATAAAATGGATATATAAGGGAATATAAATGTGACACACCTCTTAAAATTTAATTTGAAAGGATGACTAACACTATTTTAAAAATAAAAATTGCATTCATATCCGTGAACTTTAAGGAATATCTTCTCTGCCACATATTAGCTCTGTGATCCCCAGCAGAGCTACTCCAGGCTTTTTTGTTTGCTTGTTTGGCTACAGCTCAGGGCTGTGCACTTGCCAGGCAGGCCCTGTGCCACTTGAGCCACGCCCCAGCCCTTTTTGCTTTAGGTATTTTTTGCACGGGGTCTTGCATTTATGTCCGGGCCAGCCAGGACTTTGATCGCCAGTTTGTGTTTGGGATGACAGACACGCACCACCATGCCCAGCTTTTTATTGGTTGAGATGGGAGTGTCATGAATATTTTTACCAGGGCTGGCACCCTTAAACCGTGATTCTCCCAATCTCCACCTCTCAAGTAGCTAGGATTACAGGAGTGAGCCACCTTGCCTGGCCAGGCTGCAGTTTCTTAATGTGTACCATGGGGTATCCAACTGGGTACTTTTAAAGGATCCTTGGAGCTCTCAAATTTTGATTACTTTAACTCTATCATTAACTTTGAGTCTGAAATTGCCCTGCATTCTTGAAATTCGTTACTAATAGTTTCTTATGATTAACCATAGACTTTTATTTATGGAGAGGAGATGAGGCTGGGAGTGGTGCACACTGGTGGTTGAGGTTGAAAGATCACTTGAATGTGAAAGTTTGAGACCAGCCTGGGCAACATGACAAGGTCCATTCTCAAGAAAGAAAAGAAAATGGACACAAAAATGTTTTCCATTTATTTATATAAACTTTATAAGCTTGCTAAGATTTATATGCTTGAATTTTTAGAATGTACTAATAGCATTAAAATGATAATTAGAAAGAATTAACTTTATGGAATAAATGTTAGTCCTCAAATTAGTGAAATCTTATTGATCATAAGTTATCTTTATTAATGCTATGCATGAAAGAATGGAAATTCCTATTAGGAAAACATATTTCCTCATCAATGAAAACACTTATGAAATAAATATCTACTGCTTGCATGGCACTAATATTTTGGAAGCTTAATGTGAAGTATTTTTTTGTGTGTGTGTTACTGGGACTTGAACTCACAGCCTACACATGAGCCACTCCACCAGCCCTTTTATGTGATGGGTTTTTTCGAGATAGGGTCATGAGGACTATTCGTCCAGGCTGGCTTCAAACTGAGATCCACCTGATCTCTGTCTCCTGTAATCTGCCTAACTAGAATTACAGGTATGAGCCACTGGTTCCAGCCTTAATGTGGGATCATAAAAATAACTTCCAAAATAGTACTTACACGACAAACAAACTGCTAATAGTTAAAATGAATTCTACATATTATTCATTTAAATTACATTCCTCAAAATATGACCTGATGCTATTAAATGATAATTTTATTCTTTTGTATAATTTTTAAATTATGCATTTTGCTTCAAAAAAGCTCCCTTATAGAATATCAAGTTAGTCTACCTGTAATTTATCACCATTCCCTGTTTGTCTTCTGGAATGATGAATTCCATTTTCAAGTGCAGTTAATTCTTGTCATTAAAAAGAATGGCTATTATTTTTCATTGCTTTTCCTGATTCTACAAGTCTCTATGCTGCAGAAATCTACTTATTTCAAGCTAATCCATTGAACACATCACCTATTTTGCAACTATGAAGGGGCCACCGACATCATTTTATTTATATTTTCTTTTAACTAACTTATTCCTTGTATCCATATTTGAGTGTGGATTGTGGACTTTATAGACATGCAAATTGGAAGATTTGAAAGTCTAGCATGCTACTTAAAAGTGACTTCCAAAGCTCTCCTGATCTTACTTACTGACCTTGTATGAGACAGCAAAGCTTGACAGAGCCCTTGGGTGCCTGCTCACTCCAGAAACTGCATATCCTATCAGCTGGCATCTTTATACTGAACTCTAACCATGACTTTGATGTATCCAGAATCTACAGTGGAAGCAGATATCAAAGCCATCTCACAAATGTAGACACTTAGGGCTATTTTAAAAATCAATTGAGTAACAACAGGTTATAATCTCAGCATTGCCACTTCATCAGAACTTCAACGTAAGAGTTACTCAACTTCATTCCCAGTCTCTGTTGTGTTCTCTCTCTCACACAGCTGCCACAGTGTAAATTGAATGGTTCCAAACTTGGTAGATCTCACCCACCCATGTAATAGAAAATTCTTTAGCCAGATAGTCGGGCCAAATTGAAACAGCTCACATCCACTAATCTGCCTTGGACTGGGGACAGTTCCACATGACAGGAGGCGTTGGATGGGATTGTGAAGTCAATAAATTTTCCCTAGCAGAATCCCTGCCATAAAATATGATTTCAAAAGTCTCTATTACAAAATGTCTGATGCTAAAGATGATGAGGCTAAGCAGAGATGTATTTGTTGTAGCACCAAAGGGTACAGCTGGGCAGCCTTTTGAACTGAAAATTTTACTGGCTACAGTGCCTCTGTCCTAAAAGGAAAGTTTGGAACCATGTGCATAATGAAGTAATTGAGACTTATTACTTAATAACTTTTACATCAAAATAGCCTGGACCAGGAAGCATCATTTCATATTATGTGGATTTTTTTAGAGGAAACTCTTCTGAATGAAGACAATGCTTTTATGAAAGTGTCTCAAATCCATTTTTTAATCCATTTGTGGTCCTTTTGAGTTATTACTAAATATCTTCACATCCCACATTGAACATAGAGATTTAAAATAATGAGGATGTAATTTGAAGCATGTTTCTGTTGATAATTAAAATCAGAATTATAAAATAATTGCTAGAATGGACTGGGCAAATGGGCATCCAGAAGACAGAGTTTGGGAAATTTGATTCAGTAATGAGAATGAAACAGCTAAATGATTTTTTTGTTTATTCTGACTCCTTGTGAGCGTGAAAAATATTGTGATAGCTCTCTGATCATTTGACATATCTAATTAGATAAAAGGTGATTTCTACATTGAAAAATTGCATTTTAATTAATAGTAGCAAATTTCAGTTTTATGATGTGTCAGGTATTATCTCTTACTTTATAAATTAATAACTCAACCCATTATATTAGATATGGTATTATCTTCTCAAAGCTTTATGAACTGTATAGAAAATGTTTGGATAGAATTAAAGGGAGAGTATTGTTTTATCTGACTTTCCCAGAAGTGTTTTCTTTTTCTTCATTATGAGAAATGATGCTTCCTAGCATATATACCTCTTAAATTTTGTCTTCCTTCCGATCTGTTTCAATGGGGCAGAGAACATGCTTTTGTGTTAAGGAGTAACTATAGGAAATTGTCTTCATTGGAGTCTTTTAATTCATATTTTTCTTCTGGTTATTCTTAGACATCTGACCTGTCTCCCTTCCCTACCAAATTCTCTGTTTGATGATGGTGTGAGTGACTTTCAGGTTTCTCTCTAATGATTCATCAGGTTGTATTCAACTTCCAGGCCTTGTGTCATCACCATTGTGCCAATGATACAGACAAACAAGATTGCCCTAAGTGAGCCTGAC